CACACCATACAGAGAAACAAACACATAAAATATAACTGCAGACACACCATACAGAGAAACAAACACATAAAATATAACTGCAGACACACCATACAGAGAAACAAACACATAAAATATAACTGCAGACACACCATACAGAGAAACAAACACATAAAATATAACTGCAGACACACCATACAGAGAAACAAACACATAAAATATAACTGCAGACACACCATACAGAGAAACAAACACATAAAATATAACTGCAGACACACCATACAGAGAAACAAACACATAAAATATAACTGCAGACACACCATACAGAGAAACAAACACATAAAATATAACTCCAGACACACCATACAGAGAAACAAACACATAAAATATAACTCCAGACACACCATACAGAGAAACAAACATAAAATATAACTCCAGACACACCATACAGAGAAACAAACATAAAATATAACTCCAGACACACCATACAGAGAAACAAACATAAAATATAACTCCAGACACACCATACAGAGAAACAAACATAAAATATAACTCCAGACACACCATACAGAGAAACAAACATAAAATATAACTCCAGACACACCATACAGAGAAACAAACACATCAAAAGAAAAATGTGCACATCCATTTATAAAAGGAAACTTTCTTGTTTTGTGTTTGCCTTTTTATATTTAAAGATGGCTGTGTGTTGTGGTTTACAGCTAGGCAGAGATATCTGCTCACTTCAGCGTAACATATCTGATTTTAGGAAATCCTTAATTAGCTACCTTAAACAACATTCTTGTTAATAAGAAGTAGGTCTATATCTGCCGCTCTCATGGGTTTGGATAATGCTGGGGTGCCAGGTTCGATCCCAGCTGCGGGCCTTGCGTTGGTTTTGACAGTGGTATTGAGAAGCTAACCCTCCAGAAAGCAATGGCAAACTACTGAACGTAAATTTGCCTAAAAAAACCACAACAGCCCAAAAATGCTAGGGTTGGTTCTGCAAGATACACAACTAACTAACTTGGCTGGGAACCTGTTTCTAGGGTGACTGCCCAGAGGTGGAGGTATGTGGTTCAGCACCTCTGCACCCTGGACACAAGAACATGAAACCTCAACATCTGCTAACCTTTATAGGATCAAAGGCAGCTGCACTGGGCTCAGGATTCTGGGATTCCATGTATGCAGATGGCATTGGAGGCGGTGGAATGTCACGAAAACCAAAGGAAGGAATCGGAATATCAGCGAGCCTCCGTTTATCCGCTGGTTTAAATACTGTAATCGTTTCGCCACTACTGGTAGCAGCATTGCTCAAATCCCCCATAACGTAAGTTCCCGCCACATAGGTCAGGTCACCCAACGAAGACGTGCCGCTGGCAGCAGTGCTGAAATCACCAATACTGTAAGTCCCGCTGCTAGTAAAGGGGTCAAATCTGCTGGAGTTATAGATGCCGCCCAGTGAACTGGTCCCTGCAGAGGATCTGTTTCCCCCATTGACAAGACTAGGTGAGTTTTCCAGGGATGGCGGTCCAGATTTGGTGCTGTAGTACTTCTCTGAATTGGAGTTGGGTAAAGTGTGGGTGTGACTTGGACTGTTTCCCTGACCGTCTATACCTGGACTGCTTGTGTGTCCAGTCTGCTGACGAGCTGACATTTTATATGACTTGCTGTCACTGAACATTGCTGCCGCTGATGTTGAACCCAAGGGGATGTCACTCACAAGATTCTTGCCCTGAAGTAAAAAATTAGAAACAAAATGTTGGTACAATTAATTTAAATCACACACAAAAACAACAACACACAAACACCAGAAACTCAATCATTGTAATGATTGAGGAAAACAATACATACACTGTTAAACATATCACCAAGGCCATTAAGTTAACCTTATGTGTTGACAGTTGACAGTTGCAAAAGCTTCTATCGAGCTTGCTCTCTGAACATCTGCAGTTTCCTGCTGATGAGATTCTGCCCTGCCAGGCAGCGGACTGCCGCAATCATAACACTGTGAGCACAGCAGGCTGAGGCTGTCAAATCTACTGGTCATCAACTGCTGACTTAGCACAACCACAATACATGTTGCTCACATACATACACACAACAGTATCCTGTGTTAAACAGCACAGTCGATTAAAAGAAAAAAGAACAATCCAAAATAAATCACAGTTAAAACAAAAAAGCTGCTCGCCACCATTTTGAAAGCAGAAGTCTGTTAAATATATGAAAATGGCTTGTAAAAAGACACTAACGGAGGACACGGTTCCTGAAAGAAGAGACACGGGTCAGCCCATATGACAGCGGATGCAAGATATTGTGGATACCCTGGGTTCTTGATGTGGGAAAGGTGGCCAGGTATCCATTCACTTTCCGGTGTGCCATGATGAGAGTGTTGTTCTGCAAAGAACATGCTAACTCAGCAGTTCTTAACCTGTGGGTCGTGACCCTTTTGTGGGTCATGTGACCATTTCACAACGGTTGCCTAGACAATCGGAAAACACATACTGATTGAAATTATAAGGTAGTAATTTAAACAAATGTATGGTGGGGGTCGCCACAACATGAGGAACTGTACTGAAGGGTTGCCACAGGATGAGGAACTGTATTAAAGGGTTGCAGCATTAAGGTTGAGAATCATTGTGCTAACTGAATGTATATAAAAATAAAACTGATTTTATAAAACAATTTTAGAGAAATACTGCTTGGATATATTAAAGTATTCACAAGAAAACTAAGTCTGCAGCTGCAACTGAAATTAAAATGCAACAAGAACTAAATGTATTTGTAGCAAATGTAATGTTGTGTTAAAACACTGCACATTGGGCATTCCCAAGCTTGCTCAGTCCTCCAATACAGCAATCACTCCAAGATACCTCTACTGACTGTTTCCTTGAGAAGTTGGTTACAGTGTCTTCTCTGTCCTGATCCCCAAGCTTAAGTCCCAGGGCATGTAAGTGTGTTATCAAAGACTTATTTTTCTTCAGCCTAGTCTGCTAAGCACTGATGACATCAGCTCTGACCATGCTTCTTCCAGCATGCACTGGTGAACTACTTGCCATCTGGTCAGCTCGTTCATAACCATTTACTCCTGCATATCATGGTGTGCAGATCCAAGCAACATGTTAACTGTGTATGCAGCAGACGTCAGTATCTATACATTTAATGTAAATTACATATCAAAACTATTTATGAACACAACAATTATAGGTGTCCAGGTTTGTTAGATTAAGTCTGAGGTTCAAGGTTTGAACAACGGATCAACATCATGGCACACAGTCACCCATAAGTGCTCCGTTCTACTAACTCAAGTCTGAGTCCGAAGTAGTTTAGCACCGGCGAGGATCCTGAAATATTTTGTGTAGGTTTTCAATTCCAAATTTTGCCCAGGCAGCGCCGTTAGGCTTCTCTTTTCGATTTCCAACTGCCAAGGGATTGTTCACATGCGCAACAAAACACACGGGCGTCGAATCTCACTACCCAGAGTCAAGGGCAAATTACTAGAAGTCCACGTGAAAAAAATCCCAGCCCTCACCGAGGCTTGAACCTGGGACCTCTTGCACTCGAGGTGGACACTATGCCTCGAGACCACGCAGCCGCCTAAATTAAGCAAGTTAGGTGACAAATTGAGCGAAGAATAGACAGAGAGAATATATGCAACATTTAATGTATGACAGGTGAAAGCTTCAGCTGACCTAATTTCTGCTGTCACAGGAACTTTAAAGCAATGAAGCATTATTAACAGTTATTAGTAAAGGAATTTTTTTCCCACCCTGTGATGAACTAATAATAAGACAAAATCTGCACTTGGATACGATCATTATCATGCTGACCCTTTCTTCCCCAGAACATTTCCAGATACCCACTGTTAGTTTAGGCTGAATTAGGACCCTAGATCATTTTCACAAATTTTCCTCTAAAGGAACATCAAAACCTATGACAGATGAGCTGATGAATTACCATGTTTTACAGCTTTGTTTCTTCTTTCTGTGCTTAAAAAAAAATCATGTGTTGTGGCTTACAGCCAGACAGCAATATCTGTGTGTTTCTTCCCAACACATCCAATTTCAGTTAATCTTTCATTATGACATGCTTTGCTTTTAAAGGGGGTGGGGAGGGCTGCGTGGTCTGGAGGCATGGTGTCCGCCTCGAGTGCTAGAGGTTCCAGGTTCAATCCCCGGTAAGGGCTGAGGTTTTTTCACGTGAACTTGGACTTCTAGTAATTCCCCCTGGTCTCTGGGTGGTGAGATCGGATGCCTGTGTGCATTGTTGCGCACGTAAACATTCCCGTGGCAGCTGGAAATCAAAAACAGTAGCCTTACGGCGCTGCCCTGACAAAATTTGGAGGTAAAAATCTACCTAAAGTATTTCAGGATTCTTGCCGGTGCTACAGAGCCTGTGCACTGTGCTGAACTTTTTCGGACTTGAACTTCTTCAGACTTGAGTTAGAATAGAAGAAGAACAGAGTGCTTATGGGTTACTACCCATGTGCCATGATGTTGATCCGTATTTCAAACCTCAAACATGCTTGCTAGGGGCAGTAGGCCTAACCCCCCCCCCCCCCTCCCCCCTACGACACTGGAACTCACACAGGGAAATCGAACATGAGAACTAATCTGATCAAAATTCTCCAGCCCTCACCGTAATAGACACTGCCAGATATATTGGTATGTAAGCTACCCACAGCAATCCAATTCTTTTTGCTGCCTTCGATCAACAAAAACTCATGTTAAACATCACAGCTGCAGCACTTGAAGCCAGAAATACATGCAAAACCAATGAACAAGCCATAACACTAACAAATCAAGAAACAGTAACACCAGAAGACCAGAAACAACATTTCACACATCCATAACAATACATGTAAAACCCATCAGAAACACCAACACTACTAGAAACATCTGTAACCACAACAGAAACACCTATATCACAAATAGACATAGTAGTAACAGCAGCAACAACACCCACACACACACATATATAAACAGTAAAATATTTAACAGCAAAACAACTCACAAACTTACCAAATCATAATTCCCAAAAACACCATCGTATAAGCCATAGTTCATCATGTAACCACCGCTGACACGCTCATGAGGGTCCGGAGTAAACCCTCGGGAACTGTTTCGTTCTCTGCCAGGTTTCCTTTGTGGCGAAGGGCTCTCTTGACGTTTCGACAAATGTGCAGCAGTCAGCTCTAGTGACACAATTTTGTTAAAATAATAAATGCTGAAAGATCTGACTACACTGTCTGAAGCAGTCAAATCTGCTTATAAATTGTTGTCAATGGTATTATTAAAGAATCATTAGACCAAAACTATGTTTTGCTAATGTGTGAGTCATACCTATTCTGTGTGGCTTAGAATTTCGCCTTCATCCAAGAAGATGGTTATATGAACATGCTATCAAAGACATCGATGATGAACTGTATTTTTTAACGTCAGACTGTTTGTGCTGGTACTTTTGACGGCTGCCTAATGCTTTTAAAGCATCTGCATGTTATTGCCTTTGCTGAGACTGCATTTTATCCACAAGGTAAAGAGATGTACCTTCTGTACTGTTTTTACCAGCTCAGGAACGGAACAAGTATGCGGTGACCCCTTTGCTATGAAGCTGCAACTGCGATTGATCAGCTATCAAAGAGATCGTAAACCCACAGTAGCATAGTGGCTAGATGTTCATCTAATATCCCCCTTCTTGGGTTCAAATCCCCATCTAGGTATATATATATTTTTTTTTATTTTAAAGCCCCAACACGGCTATTGTCAAGAGCCCTAATATAATCTAACGGTTGAACTGGGTTTCTGAGACGGGCTGTAGGGATTCTCATCCGAATGGTGGCACTTTGTTCACTGGGTATTAATCACTCTTTGTGTAGTCCTGGTGGGGTTGAATGCCCATCAATCTGTCAGTTTACTGCCCATGGTATCATATGTCAATTCATACTGCAATTATCTTTGTACATGAGAGAAGTCAGTCAGTCTATATAAAATCAGTTGTCAGCTGACAAAACTTACTTTTGATCGTGTTGTAGAAAGGTGTCTCCTCTGGCAAGCAGACAGTGATCTTTCTCCCATAGACATCTGCACCATCCATTCTCTTCTTGGCTCTACAGATGAACAAACTTTGATTTTAGTTCATAAGAACAAAGGCAAGGTCTATGAAAATTTGCAGAGACAGAAGTGGACAAATCATGAGCAAAAAAGGTGTGTACAGTGTAGGACAGATGGACAAAACAGGAATAATATTCTTCTTCTGTGTTCACCTTTAGAGAGATGACTGGCAAGATGTGTTGTTCATGAATGGCGGCTGGAAATGGGCCGTGGAACACTGGAGAGAAATACATCTGCATACATCTTCATAAGAATTCTGCATTCGAAACAAATGGCAGTTCATACAGCATAAATCTTATAAGAGACATCACCAAGGCTACATGGTATGGAGGAATGTCTGCATTAGAAATCACTGGCAGAATATAAGACAGAAAGCTGAATACAGACATTACCAATGCCACATGGTATGGAGGAATGTCTGCTTTAGAAATGTTCATCAGCTAGTGTGTTCCCAGGCTCCAGTGTGGAGGAACAAAAAGGAACTAACCTACAAAACTTAAGTTCTAGAACAAGACTAAAGTCCAGAAGTGGACGAAACATATGCTGGAGTTTACAGCCGGTGAACATGAAATAGAAATTAGCAGCAGCGCATGCGAGAGATAGCTGAGTAAAGATATAATTACTAATACCAAACGATATGTAAGAAAGCCTGAATTAGATACAACTGGCGGTACATAAGCCAGAAAGTGTGTACAGACATGGTTATTAGTGCCATATTAACTATAAGAAGAAAGAAAAAAGATAACCAGACAGACTAGCCTATCAGACCATCTACTCTATGATAGAATTATGGCATGAGCTTTAAGAGAAAAGATAACCAGACAGACTAGCCTATCAGACCATCTACTCTATGATAGAATTATGGCATGAGCTTTAAGAGAAAAGATAACCAAACAGACTAGCCTATCAGACCATCTACTCTATGATAGAATTATGACATGAGCTTTAAGAGAAAAGATAACCAAACAGACTAGCCTATCAGACCATCTACTCTATGATAGAATTATGACATGAGCTTTAAGAGAAAAGATAACCAAACAGACTAGCCTATCAGACCATCTACTCTATGATAGAATTATGGCATGAGCTTTAAGAGAAAAGATAACCAAACAGACTAGCCTATCAGACCATCTACTCTATGATAGAATTATGACATGAGCTTTAAGAGAAAAAAGATAACCAGACAGACTAGTCTGAAAGGCTAGTCTGTCTGGTTATCTTTTTTCTCTTAAAGCTCATGCCATAATTCTATCATAAATAGAATTATGGCATGAGCTTTAAGAGAAAGAAGATAACCAAACAGACTAGCCTATCAGACCATCTATTCTATGATAGAATTATGACACGAGCTTTAAGAGAAAGAAAACCAAACAGACTAACCTTTCAGACCATCTACTCTACGATAGAATTATGGCATGAGCTTTAAGAGAAAAGATAACCAAACAGACTAGCCTATCAGACCATCTACTCTATGATAGAATTATGGCATGAGCTTTAAGAGAAAAAAGATAACCAGACAGACTAGCCTATCAGACCATCTACTCTATGATAGAATTATGGCATGAGCTTTAAGAGAAAAAAGATAACCAGACAGACTAGCCTTTCAGACTATCTACTCTATGATAGAATTATGGCATGAGCTTTAAGAGAAAGAAGATAACCAAACAGGCTAGTGTATCAAACTATCCACTCACTGACAGAATTATGGCATGAGCTATAGGAAAAAGAAGACAACCAGGCTGGTGTATCACTCTACTCACTGAAAGAGCTGTCTAACTGTATCCTGTATGGCCAGAATGAAACCAAAATAAATTCCACCAAGTGGAAACAAAATACACCAGTATGTGTAGACCTCACAGCAATGGCACAGCAAATGAAGCTAACAAGATGGCAGAACACCTCAGCACAGCTCACAACATCACTGATTCAAAACCTTCCAACAACAACCAATCAAATTCATGAAAACAACTCACAGACCTCATGAGACTGTTTACCAGGAAGCTCAGTTCACCACAAAAGTCTTTCAAGTAATGAAAACATCACTGCAAGCAGTGGGGGTGTTCCTAGTTACTCTTCATCATCATCATCATCAAGTGCCTTGCCAGCTGGCATAGGCAATCATACATCTCCACAGATCTCAGTCTTTGGTGTTCTGGATCAATTCCACTGATGATATTCCTCCATGCCACTGTCTTAAGCCATCCACCATCATTTCTCTTGGTCTGCCTCTGCCTCTTCTATCAGTGATATTTCCAGTCGTCACAGTATTTTCCAGTGCTCCTTTTCTCATCACATGACAGAAGAATGGCTTATCTTCACACAATATTTCTCAATAATTAAATACCTCACTACATTTGAAGAACTACAGGTGACTAAGACTCTCATGACCTGAGATTGAAGCATACTGGTGTCATCAGACTCTCATGACCTGAGATTGAAGCATACTGGTGTCATCAGACTCTCATGTCCTGAGATTGAAGCATACTGGTGTCATCAGACTCTCATGTCCTGAGATTGAAGCATACTGGTGTCATCTCTGAGGGGACGACAGGAGACACTGTAACCAACTCCTTGTGGGAACAATCACTGGTGGCACCTTGGGATGGCAAAGCAGGCCATGGGAGTGCCCAGTGTGCCGTAACTTCAATTTTGATAACGTAACATTTATGGGACAGAACAAGTTTTTAAATGCAAAACAGGATATACAGTTAAATAGAAAATCTTCAAATGTCCATCATAACAGACTGAAGAAATGACAAGAGTGTACCAAATACAGCATTAGATGTCAAACTCCAGCTTAAAATGAGTTATCATGAAATTTTCTTGAAAGCAAAGGCAGCCAGCATGTGTAAAAGGGGCCATTTACCACAGCTGAAATGCATGCCCCACTTAAAATCTAAAAATAATAAAATTTTGTCAAAGCATAGAAAGCATGGGCGCCATTTTAGTAATTTTTGTAGTTAAAATAATTAGCTAAGCATTTTTTCCTAGTGTAAGAAAGGGGAAAATATAATGTATATTAAAATAAGAAGACATCCAACAGTAAACTTCAAATTAACTGAAATAAATTTAAAATGAATGCATTAATTCAGCTTGTATTTCTTACTTGAATCTAGAATCCATATTGTACAAACATACAGATAAACAGCTTCAATCACAGTTCAACACAAATAACAAGAGATCTGAATGCTTCAAAAGGCATACAATCCCAGATCAAGGAGAAGCTGAAGCTGTATACTGCTCAGCTGGTTAAATTCACAATCCCCTCGGACACAACTCACTAGCATATACAATGAGGCATGGTTAAACCAACCCATCTTAATGTGAGTGCAAGCAAGAAAACCCAGATCTGCCATGAGAAAACCATGCACTGGTGATTTCAAGGGGGTTTACCAGTGGGATTGAAGGATGGGTTGTAGGGGTAAGAAGTGGTGGTGGTGGAAAGGCAGGGGGAGGGGGGGGGGTGACTGGGTATCATAACTCAGGCCAGTGTGAAAAAATAACTGTTGTTTTGGGTGGGTGTCACACTGAGGTGTGTTCTATCTGTTAAGGAAAAGTCCCCACATGGAAAACTTTAAAAAAAAAAGTTTATATATCAGTAACAAGAAATAACTGACCGCTTTCTAACCCAGACTTATTTCCACAATTTTTGTATCTTTTTAAATTTTATTTTAACCAGTGTATTTGATTTATTAGTTTCTTCTCTTTGACTCTTTTTAATCTAACACAGACTTATTCCCACACAGTTGTTTTTTATTTTTCATTTCAACTTACTATAAATAAAAGTATATTTTAGTTTTTAGTTTCATCTCTCTGACTCTTTCTAATCTAGCCCAGACTTGTTTCCACAAAATTGTTTCTGTTTTATTTTAACTTACTATAACTAGTATGCCGACTCTGTGGATAAGTCGATGCGAACGCTTCGTAATGCCGGGATGTCAGGTTCGATCCCTGCTGCGGGCCATGCGCCTTGCATTGGTTTCGACAGTGGTATCAAGAGAGCCGATTGTCCAGAAAGCAATGACAAACTGCTGGACGTAAATTTGCCTAGGAAAACCACACAACAGCCAGGGGCTGTTGGGTTGGTTCTGCAATGTCCTGTAAAGGATATGCAACTAACCTTATAACTAGTATATTTTAGTTATTAGTTTCTTCTCTTTGACTCTTTCTAATCTAGCCCAGACTTGTTCTCACACAGTTGTTGTTTTTTTTTAATTTTGACTCACTATAACCAGTTTGTTTTAGTTATTATTTTTGTCTCTTTGACTATTTCTAACCGAAACTTATTCCAACACAGTTATTGGGTGTGGTTTTTTTAATGTTTCATTTTAACTTACTATATCTAGCAAATTTTAGTTATTAGTTTCGTCTCTTTGACTATTTTAAATCTAGTCCAGACTTGTTCCCAGTTTTTTATATTTATTTACTATAACCAGTATATTTCAGTTATTAGTTTCTTCTATCTGACTCTCTCTAATCTACCCCCACCTGTTCCCACACAGTTGTTTTTTATATTTACTTACTATAACCAGTCTATTTCAGTTATTAGTTTCTTCTATCTGACTCTTTCTAATCTAACCCAGACTTGTTCCCACACAGTTGTTTTATAATTATTTTACTATAACCAGTCTATTTGAGTTATTAGTTTCTCCTCTTGGACTCTTTCTAATCTAACCCAGACTTGTTCCCACACGTTTGTTTTATAATTATTTTACTATAACCAGTCTATTTGAGTTATTAGTTTCTCCTCTTGGACTCTTTCTAATCTAACCCAGACTTGTTCCCACACGTTTGTTTTATAATTATTTTACTATAACCAGTCTATTTGAGTTATTAGTTTCTCCTCTTGGACTCTTTCTAATCTAACCCAGACTTGTTCCCACACGTTTGTTTTATAATTATTTTACTATAACCAGTCTATTTGAGTTATTAGTTTCTCCTCTTGGACTCTTTCTAATCTAGCAGAGAATTTTTCTCTGGCAGTTTGTGTGCTGTG